CAGGATTCATCAATTTGATAATGTATAAGTATCACCTATGAGTACTCTACATGGTAATTACCTATATATTACTCAAAAATCTATTACACAAACATTTCGATAGTTTGAGAAACATAAATATTTCTTTCGAAACTTTACTATGACAAAATTGATAAATTTGTTACTGAACTAAAATTTGATATTTGTAGTAACAAATGAAGATTTTATACAGAATTATTTATGACATTATATGAAACAAGGAGTAATAATCAATTAATTTTTTACTTCTTCGTGTACTGGTTTTGCAACTGTAAATTAAGGATAAAATCCTTAAAATGTAAATACGATTCCTTCCATAATTCTAATAATAGTAATGTTCCTCCTGAACTGGCTTCGACAGTGCGTTAAAAATAATTCATTAAGTCATGTAACATAAAATGTAATACGAGTTTTTGTTGATTACAAGACTCGTCGTAAAATGTATGAACACAAGTATACATATAATTTCTAATATTCCAGCTTCCAAATGAAAATATCCTGCTAATTAAAGGCCGCAGGAAAAGAAACCAAACGAAACCCATTTCCTGCCTTTTACATGAAACCATTTTCTAATTTTTTCCTCTTATTCCCCGCCATTTTTACTATCCCAGCGACCATATAATCCCCATATTTGCCAACCTGTCTTTCATTCGCTTTTAGGATTAAACATAACCGAGCTTTCCGAAATATTTCAAAAAATTTTGACCGCGATAATAATGCAAAATTGTAGTATTAAAACGTTTCTCCATTTTCTTCAAAAGACTATATTCCCGAATCCAACGGACAATTACCTTCTTCACCCGTTTCGTGTTGAAATACTTCCTTCTAACCACCGACAGGAATATCCACATGTCACTTTCCTCGTGTCTTTAATTACCCCTGAATTTCCGAGATTTTTCCAAGAAACCATCGTAGAGGTGTTTATACCATACGTAAATCATACTACATTAAGACGTATTCGAAGATACGAAGCTTTTATCGAGGAGGAACGCAGGACAATAACTCCTAGCAGGAAACCGAGGCCACGATTCCTTCTATAAACTTTTCGTCAAAAGCATAAAATGTGATTTATTATAAAGTTGACCAAAACATAAATAACAGCCGGGAAAGGCCCGGCTCTCTAATCTTTCGTTTCTTTTTTATCCGCCATATTTTCTAACCACGGGGAAACGTAAAACAGTCATTAAACGTGTCCTCGATAGTTAAACGTCCATTAGCACGAGGAAACTGACGGCATTTATTTGTCCCTAAGGATAATTATGGACTCCTAACTTCGCTAGGTGTATTACGAATCACGTCATCAGCTACTTGTATCCACTCGTCAACATCAGCCGTAATTTGTTTGATTGCTAACAAAATTACAACGTTCTTGCCTTTCGATCATTCTTTTTCCCTTCTTTCTCCTGCCTTTTTTCTCTCGCACTTTTTCCACGCGTAACGATATACCCCGATCGATTATGCTACCGCGTTCGTGTTCGAAATATGCAGAACGGTTGCTGGTAATTGCGATACGAGAAGAGAAATAAGTAAAGGCGAATGCCGAAGAGGGGCTAGGCTAGCTCGTCGTGAGATACTTAATAAGCACAAAGTGACAAGGAATATTATGCGAAATTACTGACCTTGCTTCCTATGTATCCTACCTGGGCCTCGACACTTTGTACGTTCCTGTGTTTTACATATCATTATGCGTTTTATGACGAAAAGTGAATATCTCTTGGTAGGAGAATTTGCGGTTATGGTGCTCGTAAATGTTAAGATAAATTTAGTTTCGAGAGAGATTTGCTTTTATTTCCGAAATTTTAATGCGAGTTTCATGTATGTTGTATTTATTATTGCGTTAATAGCATGGTATTTATTATATTATAGCACACTGTGATATATTACATCGTGATGCATTGCATGTACGAATATATTTTCAAATCGATGCGTCTGTGAATCCCACTCGAGAGGCGCCCTTCAGTCGCCATTTTCTAAAATTCCGAAGACCGATATTAATTAATACATCAAATTTAAGATAATATAACTGTATGTGAAATATCGAAATCGAGTAATTCTACGTGTCAATTACTATACTATTTCTTATTCACTGCTCAAAAAAAGATCGCTAATTTTATAGCAGAAAATCTTCGAACACCTACTTTTCTTTAGCCAAAAAATCCTCGAGTACAAAGGGTTAACCACTTGCGGTGGCAAGGAATTCACAGACGCGTGTGCCAGAACGGCCCAGTGTTTCTGTAACAATTGCCTAACGACGTGTATACCACGTCGTTGACGATTCTGCGACAAAAGCATTACGACGTGCGTGGCACGTCTTTCCAGCGCAAGTGGTTAAAGAAATAAAAATGTACCAACAAAAATAAAGTTCCAACACTAAATCGTCGCTAATGACCTCGATGTCGATGCGACGTAAAATAGAAACGAAAAAAAAGAAAAAATGGGGAAAAATTCTTAGAATTTAGAAACCTTTTAGAAATCGTGGCTAAAACTTTTGAAATATTGCACAATTGTACGAGCAAATCGCTATATGGATTTTTAATAATTATTTAGTTTTCTTTTTATTTAAATGTAGACTGGACGATATGTCTCAATTTTGTTGTACTGAAAAAGGGGATAGGAAACCTTTTTTTCCAATTAATTGAAAGTAAATGTTGATTGGCAGCACAGGAATTGTAAACGAAAATGGTGTAATGATTAAGGCTGTCAAGGTGTAATTAAAGAGCAATTATTGGAGTAGCAACCGTCACGAACGCTTCGTATATTATCTATTTTATTAATAACCACAACGCGTAGAGGCGAATAAAATTTAATTTGACGTACGTTAACCCCTAGGCAGACGTGCTAATTTCAATCCGACGAGTTAAGCGAGAGCATTTGGAATGCACCGTTGTGAATTGCTCTTGATTCGTGGTGCCGGAAAAATAATCAGAATGAAATGAATAAAAGGAAGCACGTATAAGTACCAAACTTCCAAATTCAATTTTTCGAATAAAATTGAGTCTACGAAATAACGAAATAATAAAAATACGAAGTGCGTAAGTAAATAATAGAATTAGAATGATACGAATAAAGAATAAAAATAGGAATTGAAATACAAAATTTACTGCTTCAAAAAAACATAAATTAAAGAAACTATGAAAATATTAATTTTTAATTATTTAATGTATAAAATTGTTAAATTAATTGAAGATTAAATATTTCTTTCATTATATAGTACGAATAAAATTTTTCTCTGGAATGTCTGTGTTCTAATTTTAATTTTTAAAGTTTAATTTGAGTTTCTTCCATAAATCTTTAACAATTTTCCGAGTTGCAAGTCTCGTGGCGAAAATAATTCACAGTTCCCTAAGCTCTAGAACCAGACACGATACGTTCACACTGCCTCAATTACTCTAATGTAGGATCACTGACTAATACCGCATTATACCGAGTAATGTACCAGAATAAAGATATTATCTCATATTCGACGACAATTGTTCTCTTAAAGTCACTTTGCTGGCTACATATAGCGCTCTATTACAATTTCAAATTTACCTCAATTATTGCTTGAAACTATCTAAGTCCATATATAATATTACAATCCAAATACTGCCACTAGGAAAAATATTTTTAATGAATAACAAATGAATTTTACTTGACTTAATTTCTCATGAATTCTAAAAACATTCTAATCCTCTCTTGCCTTTCAGCAACAACTCCTCGAATCATCAAAATCCAAGAACAGCAACAAACATCGAGTCAAATTACAATAACCATCTGTAATCATAACCATTTGTATCATTTAACGATTGATACATAATCATTGTATGTATTATTTAATGAGTGATACATAATCATTTGTATTATTTTACAATAATATAAAATTGTGAGTCGAAGTTTCATCCTTTCGATATAAAATTTTAAATCAAATAGTTAACACTAAACTAACTTCAATCACGTAAAATGACCTGTAGCTGGAAAAATGGCAGAAGAGCTTTGGTTATGTGTCAAAGACGATCGTTCAGTCCACGATATTAATTGTTACATGCTCCGTTTTAATCTTAAACACTGGTAAAAGATATGTAAATCGAGAAACGTGCACACAATAATAAGCACCTATACATTAAAAGAGGAAAAATAAACACCTTATAAATAGTGCATAAAACCCTCGACAGTGATGACGTACGTCAAATTAACTTCTAACATAGTGAGGTTGTACCTCAGAATGACTCCGTATCATTACTATAGTAGTAACTTAACGTTAAATTGATTCTATATCGATAAAGGTGACTTGACGTCAAATTGACTCCCGGTCAATAGTAATGACTTGAAGTCAAATAACAAATAATAACGTCTTATTACAATTCAAGTAGAATATACCTCTATCTATGGACACTTCAAATTGACGTCATAACACTACTAATGATATGGAGTCAATTTAACATCAAGTCACCATTATTGACAGAGAATCAATTTATCTTCAGGATACCACTAGTGACTGGCAATCAATTTGCCTTCAAATCACCACTATTGACAGGGAGTCAATTTGACGTCAAGTCACCATTATTGACAGGAAGTCAATTTGATGTCAAGTTATCATTATTGACAGAGACTCAATTTGATGTCACGTTACCACTAGTGACAGGCAGTCAATTTGCTTTCAAGTTACCACTATTAATAGGAAACCAATTTGACGTCGAGTCACCATTATTGATGGAAGTCAATTTGATGTCAAGTTACCATTATTGACAGAGAATCAATTTGGTGTCACGTTACCACTAGTGACAGGCAGTCAATTTGACGTCAAGTCACCATTATTGACAGAGAATCAATTTGACGTCACGTTACCACTAGTGTTATAAAAATAGTAATCACCACTCGAAGGTTAACACGGGATAAGTTACAATTAAAAAGAAAATTGCTACATCCACTAACCCCAAGCTAAAAGGATCCAAGGTCGCAAAATTCATGTCTGGACTCTCGTTATAACACGCAAACACACTTACCACGTTGTTTCTCGGGCTCGTGCTCGACGATGAACGCAGGAACGGCCGTGACCATTTGATAATCGGCCTCGGCCACGTCCTGCTCCTGTTCCTGTTTGCTGGCGAGCAACGCTTGCATGGCACTCGCGTCTCCGCAGCTTCTCCTGGTGTACTTCGTCCTCGAAACCCTCAGCAGGGCGGCTGGGCTGATGCTCTGACAGTTGTCCCGCGGCGTCGACGTCGACGTCCCCGGCGGCTCGTCCAGGGTCGTCGGGCTCGACAACGAAAGGGCGACGTCATCGGCGCTGTGACGCCTTGACTTCGATAACCTCTTAAACATCCTTCCACCTGGAAGCAATACAGGTACTTCATGTTAGTTCTTTTGCTTTGATCTCGGGTACATTGTTTGGAGCTACAATTGTGTTCGTTGTGTTTTGATTAATTGGTACTCTCGCGTCGCGAATGAATTTTGGGGAAATTCTGACGGCTTATAAGACCGTCTCGCGATTTCGTTATGTTACCAGCCAAATTAATATCGAACAACTGTTTCAATTAGCACGAGCAAAATGAAAATCTTGGCTGGAGTCGATCGCTAGACTCTTGTACGACGATAGGAACTGAACTCTTGGAGGTCTCGATTGGTAGACTCGAACTGTTCTGTTAGGCAATGTAATCTTTAATATTTGGTTTATTAACTTTAAATATTGTATTCAAGATTTCACTTTAACTATATACAATATCTTATCGACACCGTGGTCGGATCGAGAAGAAGGAACAAAAAGACAAAAGGATTGTATTAGGCTCGTTGGCATATCACGTGACCAGGTCGAACAAGTACACAATACATTTAACAGATGCTTCGATTAGTGTAGTATTGTCATACATTCCATGTACTCTTCGAGGTTTCGTTTAGAACTTCTCTCCTCGATTTTCCTAAGATCGGTCTTAGGAAAAATCGGGAGTTCGCCAAATATTATTGGCTAATTGGACCAAGAGCGTTCCTTTGGTTTCCAAATCGGTCACCTTGAAGGAAGGGAAGGTTCTCCCAGAGGAAGACGATGGTAGAGGGAACCCTCTCCTTCAAGGCGAGGTACGCGGGGTCCACTCGTGCGCTGGTAACCCCATCCGCCGTTTATGGGCTCTCGCTAGGGCCTGAGGCTCCCAACGTGTGCGGACCACGTGGAGCCTTCAGGTCTAATGTCAGCCAAGTCTTAAGAGCCGTCGCTTAATTTCGTTAAATTAGGAAAATTCCAATACCGAATTGTTTGACCCTAAAGATCCGGCTGTTGGAAGACGGTGTCTTCCTTGTTCCACGATGGAACAGCTACCACTGGTAAAAAGTTTTTAGCCAAACTCAATTATTTTCTCCTCGATGGTAAACAGAAGCTTAAATTTTGTTGCTTTTGTTTCGTATTATGTCGATTTAACACGGGTTTTATACCAATGTGATGTCATTCTACATCTAAAAAGATAATTTTAGGTAATTTTGTATAGTCGTGATTAGCAGAAAATTCTTTGCCAGGGGTAGTAATACTGCCACTCTGCTTTGGTTTATAGTTGTTTATTTAGGGATAGAAATGTGTCGATTGTATCATATTTTTCTTTGAAATTATTAAAAATACTTGTATGCATTATTTCTTCGTGTACTTGTGTATATTTTTGTGACATGAAAATTAGCGATTTCTTCGTTTTCTTTTCCTTATTTAAATAGTAATAGTATGTATCAAATGAAGTGTTTTAGCATTTTTGTTATTTAAAAACTATATTTTGATATAATATAATGTATTTGTTAAGTACATTGTATATTTGGTTAAAATACAAAACGCGAAGATTCAATCTATACTGGTATCCGATTATTTTTGTGATCGACTGTATGTAGGAGTGTTTTGGGAAAATTAGTGTTGAATTTTGATAACGATTTTGAATTCTGAATTTTGATATCTGTATATCTGTGTGTAATTATGTAGTTAACCTAATTGTTATAGTAGAGAGAACCTTTAGCTCGCTTCTATTTATACCCGTTTATCTTGATTCTACTGTTGTTATCATAATTATGTATCTGTATTACAATATATGTAGATAATTCTTTTATTAGAAAACGATAAGAATGCTCGTAAATTCTGTAATCTTTTAGTTAATGAAATAAATTTGTTCATTCAATTTTGAACCGTAAACATAGGTCAATTTTTATCTCATGTAACACATGCATTTAATTTAACCATTTTATTTTATATTATGTGTAGTCACAGTCATCTATATATTCTATATTTAGATACATATTAGAGACAGTTAATTATGCCATATATAAATAAAATTGACACGAGCATCTAATATTCACTTCGAAGGAAATAAATATACATCAATTTCTGTCTCATATAATTGGAGTCAATTCGTACAATTTTGACATCCATATAATTGCAGTCAATTATAATTAACTATACATTACATTACATTTGAGTACATAATAAAAATAATTAATTGTTCTATTAAGGGTGGATAAAAATTCCATAATTTTTGTCTCAAGAAAACCCTAAACCTTAATTAATCCTACTATAAAAATAATAAATGTAGGTTAATTTCTGTCACCGATGTGACACTTATTTTGATTATACTACTGTAATTATAATGATCAATTACATGCTACATTTAAGTGCAAATAATTACAACATTTTCACATAGAAAGGATGAAAATAGATAAATTTGTACCAAATCCGATTTAAACTAACGGTCACGTGCACATCTTGGCAGCGATAGCAGGTCAAATTCCTCCATAGAAACGCGAGCTACCTTTGAAGTTTAGCTTCCTCGTGAAAACCGTCACATAAAAATTCCAACGTATCGATCGTACTCGTTACGATATAATAGTCGACGTGTTTCGATTCGTACTCTCTATGTACGATTTACCGTTCAATCCTCTCGAACGCGTCCAATACATCGTGGCTTTTTGCGACTTCGAGGGGGCAACGATGAACTCGACATAAATCACCGACAGACTGGGCCCAACGCAATCGAATGCGTTCGGAGGAACAATGACACCTGTGGTCATACAGTACCAAACAAAATGACAGCACATCCTATGATTTTCAATACCCCACGAATAATTTCCAAGCATTATATTTGGAAAAAAAAATAAAGTTCATTGATTTAAAAAAAGACTCCATCTTGAATTTAATTTTACCAGAGGAGATTAATATCGTATGATACTGTTGACACAATCGTTTGCCAAATCGATTAACTCGACGAGATGAAAATCAATCAAGACCTTTGACAAAAATTTTAAAAAATTCAAAAAATCGAATTGATCACTATAGTCTACGATTGGCTCAGATGACAGAGATATCGAAGGAATATTCCAAATTTGCTGAAGTTTCTTAATTATTTATGTTTAAATCGATCAAATTTGTAATTTTTCTTTGCTCCTGAAAATGCAGATATTTATTGCTCAAATTTATATTCGGTGGAAAATTTCCACAGGAAAGGGAACGAAAATGATATTTTATTCTTAAAATATTCACACCCTTGTATGATTACTGGCAAGTAAAAGATACAGGAAATAATTATTCAAATTATTTAAATTTATATTCTAATTGCAGTTACTCTAGAAAATTGTACTCTATAAAATATTCTAACTATACAAAATAACTCTATAAAGTAATTATACTATAGAAAATATTTATCTATGAATTTTATTATATAAAGAAGAATGGACTCAATTATGAATACGAATTATCTCCAATCGTTCCACGTCCATTTACTTTTGAGCAAATCCAAGTAGTCGCAAACGTTGCACTAATCTTAGAAAACACTGAAAATCATAGAGCGTGCTATCTTTTTGCCTCGTACTGTATATGTGTACGAACGTTTCGCGATATGGTTCAATGAATAATGGGAAAAAAGCGAGGAAGCTGCGTGGAAAAATAGGAAATCTAGAAGTTATGAGAGATAACTGTTATTTGATGGCGTGTGTCATGGATTGTTTTGCTCGTTGAGGATCGCTGGATGTAACTGAGGTTTACTTTTGAAGATAAGAAAAAGTATCACGGTTGGCTGCAGTCTTTCATTCTGATTGGAGAGATAGGGAATGTTGGGCGAGGTAGGTAGGTTGATTGGCGGCAATGCAATAATTTAAGGTAATAAGACTCGAGGAGTACAGATGCATATTTTGCAGTATTAGAGAGGGCTGTGTTCTTTTCGGGATGAGAGGATATTTCTGTTTCAAAAGAAGATTCAATTGCACAGTTGATTGAACTTCTGTATTGCGATATGTGGTGGATGTTAGGTCAGGATTACTACGTGGCATGATTCAGACATTGGTTGGATATAAAGTTTGTTAGTTTGATATTTGATAATTATTTGATAATAATTCAAATTAAATTATATATTTGCAGCTGAGTGGAACTTAAATATTTGGTTATAAAATTGAGGTTCATTTGATTATTCGGTGATATCAAATTAAATTGTATATTTGCAGTTTAATTGAACTTATAATTTAAATTTATGCATGGAATATATAGCCATAAGTATACAAGTAGGTATTATAAAAAATGATGTACATAATATACGATGTATAATTTGTAAATATCATGGAATATTCATAAAAATATTATACAGCTTCTAACAGTAATTAGTAACGAATATATCTATATGACGTTGAATACACTTAACAGAAAACTATGAAAATAAAATAAAATTTATACAACTATGACAGGAGATAGTAAAGGTGGTTCAAACAGTTTCTTTAGTTTTAGTTTGTCAACAGGAAATCCAAACTTCACGTACAAAACAAACTATTTCTATGCAAAGCAATAATTAAAGCGATGTGGACACACGGTATTCAGTTATGGGGTGCAGTCGTGAAATCCCATATTAAAAAAATGAAACGCGAATGATCAGTTTATCCGAGATAAACAATAAATGGATCCATAAATGGATCCCTTAAAAATGAGGATATTTCTGAAAATTCGAACCTCAGGACCTGAAAATGACTACTATTCGAGACGAAATAACTCGCTCTGTCAAGAAACACGAAGAATGGATAGATTATTATAAGTAGCCTAATCAAATTACGTCGTCATGCTAGAAACTAATTTCGAGGAGACTAAGAAGACACTTTATAGATCTCATTTTGTGGTGTAGTATACACGCGTGCGCGATAAAATCACAACTATGAAATTTAATTAACGCTGCTTTATACTGGTGCAATATATATTTATTCATTGTCTTCTAGATAGATTGTAAATAAAACATGGAGATTTAAAAAAATATAAGTAATATATTAGATAGTTTAGAATTCGTATACATTGAAGCTAAACTCAAGGTACGGAGTGTATTATTTAGTATATTTTATA